TAACATCACTGAAATCACTTATTATCATTATTTCAAAATTAGTTCATTTGTTGATCTGTTTGCTTAATCCCAATCTTCAAATTATAAATAAGCTTTAAAATTCATTCTATGTATTGTATGAATTTATCTATCATTCCAATACAGAGAAAAGTTTGGTTATGAGTAAAATTAAAAACATAAAAAATTAATAATAGGATTTAAATCATAGTGGTTAAGGAAATACATGTTATAAAAAACGAAAATGATCTCATCAAGGTGTTAGGTGTATCATTCACAAATTAAAAAAACAACATTAAAAACGGTTAATTTAGGTATTGAATATTTTAAAGGGTACCTTTACTTTTTAATAGATATTTTTGGAAAGATGTTTCTCACATGTTTCTCTTATATACACCTCTACACATTTCTTAAGATCAAAATATCAAAGTTCTGGTGTCGTTACAATAACATTAAAGTCAGGTAGAAATAATATTTCATAGCCATTTCTATAAAACTCCAATCAAATTTATAAGTGATTTCAATTATCACGACTGTATTTTTAAATTATGCAAACTTGATCAGGAAATTAATATTGATACCATTTTGGCAGTATCAAGATTTAATTAAATTAGTAAACAAATGACAAATATTAAGAAAAATATAATTACAACAAAAAATATTGTAATAATCAGTTAAGAATATTTCAAATAAAGTAATGAAGGATTTAAAGGCACATATAAGGTACTTTATCTCAAAATATCAATTCAACAATTAAGGTTGTTGCCCCCTCACTGAACTAATCTGGTTAGTTTCTCTGTTGTACTTGTTCTAAAGCTTATAAAAAATATATACATATCAACAGAGGTTTCAACCAACATAGATTTGAAGTACCAGCTGGCATTGTTAGTTTCTGATGCACTTACTGACTACTTCTCTAAACCCTTCACTTTTATAGAGCACCACATGAAGTTAATAAACTGTGATATCAGCTGGTTAAAGAAACTGTTCTTTGAATTGGCATTGCTGTTAAACAGGCACCCACAATCATATGAACCATCATAGTCACTCTAAGAATGGTAATGTAAATGTAATACCTCTACTATTGGAAAAAGTATGGCTGCCAACTGCTGTTGACAGACCAAGGGAAAAGCTTATTGGATAGCTTTGTAAATTGGAAAATACATCACACTGTGTTTCAAGTTATGGATTCCTTGAACAGAATCAATAATTAATTTACTTAAACTGTCAAAAAATGTCATACGGCAGCTGCCAACCAGTCCAAAAATTGCTTATCTAAGATGAAAACAGGAAAGCAGAATTTCAAGGGTGCTAAAGAGTAAAATGTTGGCAATGAATAATTGAACTGGGTGATGTGGCCTAATGAGTCACACTTCCTTTATTCTGTACTGAGACACTTAACACTTATGTTATTAAAACAGTGAAAATTGTGGGGAACGTTCTTCTGGCAGGGTTATTTTCTTTGGTTTCCGTTGAAGAGTAAATAATAAATAGTTTGTACCTGAATGTTGTTGCCAGTTGTGTTTATCACACAATCACTATTCTCACCTAGTAAATACTATCCCTACCAAGTATAGAAAGCACTGTCCTCACCTAGTAAACACTATCCCTACAAAGTATAACAAGCACTGTCATCAGCTAGTAAACAGTATCTCTACAAAGTGCAACAAGCACTGTCATCAGCTAGTCAACACTGTCCCTACCTAGCATAGCAAGCACTGTCATCAGCTAGTAAACACTATCTCTACAAAGTGCAACAAGCACTGTCATCAGCTAGTCAACACTGTCCCTACCTACCATAGCAAGCACTGTCGTCAGCTAGTAAACACTGTCCCTACCTAGCACAGCAAGCACTGTTGTCAGCTAGTAAACACTATCCCTACCAAGTGTAACAAGCACTGTTGTCAGCTAGTAAACACTATCCCTACCAAGTGTAACAAGCACTGTCATCAGCTAGTAAACACTCTCCATTCCTAGCGTAGCAAGCACTGTCATCAGCTAGTAAACACTGTCCCTACCAAGTGTATGAGGCACTGTTGTTAGTTAGCAAGCATTGTCATCAGCTAGCAAGCACTATCCCTACCAAGGCTAACAAGTATTGTCCTCAGGAAGCACTATCATTAGCAAGGTTAATGAGTACTGTTTCACTTAGCAAGCACTATCACTGCCAAATCTAACAAACATTGTCCTAACAACCAATGTCACTAACAAGTGTAATAGGCACTGTCCTCACCTATCAAATAATATTCTTCCCATGTGTAAGAAGCACTGTCTTCACCTATCCACTACTATCCATACCAAGTCTAACAAGCACTGTTCTCATCTATAAGTATCATCCTTACCAAATCTAACAAACACTGTCCTCACCTATCAAGTATTATCCTTACCAAGTCTAACAAACACTGTCCTCACCTATCAAGTACTATCCTAACCAAATCTAACAAACACTGTCCTCACCTATCAAGTACTATCCTAACCAAATCTAACAAACACTGTCCTCACCTATCAAGTACTATCCTTACCAAATCTAACAAGCACTGCCCACATCTATCAAGTACTATCCTAACCAAGTCTAAAAAGCATTTTTCTCACACCTAGCAAGTACTATCCCTTATATATATATATCTCATGATATTTGAACAAAAATGGTTTGTAATAACTTTAATTCTTGGCAGAAAAGAAAGTTTATATGTGATATTCAATAAATTAGGTCATTAATAGCTCTGGACATTTGCTGAATGTCCAAGATCATGGCTTGAAGGTCATCAGCTAAGAGAAAAAAATGAGATTATCATTTAAAAACATTTGGGTGTTTTAATACACAATAAAAGGATTTGAAATATACAAGATATCTCTTAACCTGTCCTTGCATGATGACACTATATGATACCAGATATTGCCAGATGGTACCACATGGTGCCAGATAGTTCTACCTACTACTAGATGGTAATCAAATATTCATTTCTGAAAAAAACGTTCACTTGTATTATGTAATCATACATGAAAAGGTAAAAAAATTATGATGGAGTTTTAATTCTGTCAGTGTTTTATTATGCTTCCCTCCTCATAAAAAAACAGTAGTATATAAAAATTTATCTAAAGAACCTAAAAACTGCAGGCCTCAAAGCATAGGCTCAAAACTTGTTTATATATGTTTGGTGTCGCTATGATAGATTTTGTTCAACTATTTAGAAGAAAGTACCTGCCACAAAAACTTGTTAAGCTTCTATACCATTTATGTATAGTTTTAAAAACAGCAAGTAATGTGACCTTCCCAATTGTAAAGTCTTAATAAAGGCTCCTCCAGACTGATAAAAATGGATTGATTGATATAATTTTTTGAATATTATGAAATGTTTATTAGACTTTCCGCGATATTACTGTTTTATTTGGTTAGCAACTAAAATGCTCAACTGGTACTCTAAAAAGTCTTACAAAACATGTTTATAAACATGACCTTGTTGTATTCGCCTAGATTTTTTTTATATAAGTGGTCTAGAATGATAACTGTAAAGTACAAAGCTTTTTCACACCAAAAGTTGTCATCTGAGAATAAAACCCTCAACTTTGCAAAAATCTAGGTGGGAGTGAGAAGGGGAATTGAATTTAGGGAAACTCTCCACTGCCCCATGCTCTATGGAAAAAAAATGTCTACCAGTGTCATTACTTAACAGAGAATAACTGTCAAAACAAGCTTTTCAAAGTAAACAAATATGCACAACCAAACATCTCATTACAGAAAACATAAATTTGGTTAAAGTTAATATATCAAGAATGCATGTACCATACAGACATACACAGAATGAATATCTGCATGTTTATGTACTGGGTTGTTTGACATAGGAAGCATGTTTGAGAATCCACAATTTAAATAAAGTAGTTTCTGTTATATATGACTGAATGATTTATCTTCTACATATGCCCCCCAGTGGCTCAACAGTAAGTCTGAAGGCTTATAAAGCTAAAAAACTGGGTTTTGATACCTGTGGTGGGCACGGCACAGACAACCCATTGTGTAGCTTTGTGCTTAACTACAAACAAACAAATTTTTTACATCTTCCCAGCACTTCTGAAGAAGGTACAAAATATTGTAAGAAGGCATTAGTTAGTTTTCATGCACTTTATATGGTAAACTGTATTATGATACAAGTATTGCAGCATCTTACAAATATTCTACTTTTCTTAAGTTTAATTCAACAGTCATATTTAACCACATCGAATTAGAAACACTAATAATGTTGGGTTCACATGTACACATATCTGTAACACTTAAATAATCTGTCAAAAATGTCATCAAAGCCCTATGCAAAATCATAACTTCATAGATAAATTACTAATTCTATGAATATATTCACTCACAAATGTATTTATCTTAATAAAACTGAATTATACATCAGTTTCTTTCTTGCCCTGTAATGTTTACATGGTACAAAAAAACAAGGGGCTCAAGCAGTTCCATTGACACAATCTCTATGTTTAACATAGCCACTGAGGCACATGGCACTCAAGTATCTAATGTAATCATCAGCAGAAACAAAAAAAGAAAAATGTTTATACCTTATGTTTTAACATGTGACAACACTGACAAATTTACTTAATAAAATCTATAATGATCATGTTTGAGTACAAAAAAGTAATGTAAAATTTGAACATTGAGTTCTCCAACAAAAAATTAATAATTAGATATTTTCACACATAATTTAACCAAAAAAAAAACTGACAGAATTACACAAAAGAACATTTTTATCAATAATATGTAATCTCAGAGTTGATATTAATTATGACTAAAAATAAGCCCTAAATGGTGTTTCTCTATACCTTTTATCTTAAAATCAGTTTTAATATTTATTAAAGCAATTAGCACTCTAGCCAATAATGTTTTTCCTTATACCAGTTCTTGTATGATTCTCATTTTATAAAGGAACTTATTCTTCATACAAAGTTTCAAGTTGTTCAAAGACATACACCACCTGACATACATCCATAGCACAAGTAGTTTAGTAATTGGTATCTAGCTTGTTCCAGGCTAATCTCATCAGTGGGTGACACATCCATCTTTGTAAACTGTTGAATGCTCCAAGTGTCTTTGATCAAATACCCGCACAGAGCCATCAGCACCTTTCGCAAAAACTTGAGTATGTTAACATATATTTCTAACACTCTTATCCCAACTAATAATGGACACAGATTTTTGTCACTTCTCCAAAATAAACTTTAAATATTTTTGTTAATCCTTCAGTGGTGCAGAGAGTGCACCGTGCTTAAATCATATGCAGTAATAACATAAGATAACGTTTTGGGACAACATGGGACCTATTGGTCCATCTTTGCTGTCCCATCCTCTACACTAAACTAAAACCATTAATAAATAAATTTAAAAAAATCTTAAACCAGCCCTAATCAATTATATACTTATCAAGCTTTCTCTTAAACTCACTTAAATTTACTGCCCGCACAACATCTGGAGGCCACCCATTCCAAAGGCCAACCACCTGTTAGAAAAATAAAACTGTCTTAGCTGAAGATGACTCCTCTTGCCAAATTTATATTTGTGTCCCTTGGTCCTATTATTCTCAATTATATATTATTTACATTTATATATTATATATTATTTACAT